GAGCGAAGAGGAGGAGGAGGATGTGGTGGAGGTTATCCCTCTGTTTGAGAGGTTGAAGAGGAGGGTGGAAGCGAAAAGTGCGGCGAGTTTTCAGCCCCCCCAGCCGGGTGGTGGGGATGCATCAGGGCGAGTTGATCTTGGTGTTGGTGGCCACCTGTTGGTCCCTGTCGGAGGAAGGACGCGGAGAGACCTGGTGTCGTCCGGAGGCGCGTTTTGTGTCAGCCGAAATGGCACAAGTCCTGTTGGAAACCCGCCGCCAGACGGTCGGTCTGACTCTGCAGACCAGCCTCATAGGCCCCTGGTAAGCGGAGCAAGCCCAGAAACACCCCTCGCTCCCAAGAAGTCAAAATCCAGTCAGAAGGAGAAGGGGGCGACCTGCCAGGCTGCGTGGCAGAGGAGGAAGGAACGAGAAGCGCGGAGGAGGCAGCAGGAGGAGGAAAAAGAGAGGAAGAGGGCCCTTGCCAAGGCGCTGAAAGCTCAGCGACCAGGAGAGTGCCAGAAATACATAACTGTGGTGCTAGATCCAGGTACTTGTCCTCACAGCCTGCATCTGCCTTACATCGACTGTTTTGTCTCCTCTCTGTGGAGGCCTGACCCACGCACCAATTTCAGTTCTTTTACAGATGGAAGGTGGTGCAGAGATCCTCAAGGCTTTGCAAGCTGCAAATTATTCCTGTGTGGTTGAGAATCAGGCTGTTCCCTGCAGCATCACCTGGAGGAGAAAGACTGTATCACCTCAGGTGTGCGAGCAAAATCTCGATGTTCTCGCCCTTTTCTTTCTGTTATTTGCACCTGTTAGTAATTGTGTTTAGCAACCCAAGTAAGCGCTCTCTAAACTTCTCCCTGCCTCAGAGGTCTTGAGTGGGAGCACCGGTTTGAACGAATTATAAACAGACTGTTGGTCTGGCTGTTTGTTTTCATATCTGAACAGGTGGAAGAAGTAGATGAATGGACAGAAGAACCAAATGTCCTGGTTCTGCTTCGCTTGGAGGAATTTTTGTCCATGGTTCACAACTATAAACAAGTGAGACTGCTTATGGCTTTTGTGCTCTCAAACATGCCTTGCTGTAAGGGTGGTGTTTGTCGTCCCGTTTCATGGCAGGAAGGTTTTGATATGGGATGAACACATGGTTTCAGTAAAACAGAAATCTGGTTTTGGAAGCCGTTAATGGATTTAAACCACCAGGGTTGTATAGCGCAAACTTATAAGCTTTCTTTCCTAATTACAACTTTTCACAGATTTTTTTTAAGAGGTAACCTTGTCAGATCAAGTGGGATTATTTCTGCCATGATTTTATACGCATCAAATATTGCCTGCGTGCCCCTGAAGAGCTACGTGAACACGTTTTTTCATCCGTAGACCCAACTGCATAATCAGACCCATAGGTTGCTGTGTTTGCATGTGTACATCGGAATGGTTTAACTCCTTTTTCTCTGTTGATCTTTGCAGGAGGCCAAGGGCTGTACAGAGGGACAGAAGGAGACCCTACAGAGCTATGCAGCTCGTGTGATGGAGAAAATGCCTGGGAAAATTCTGGCACTGGCATTAGCTGGAGTAGAAAATTATTTCAGGTTAAACATTTTTTTTCCCTCCGAATGTTTTTATGTTGTCTCTGGCCTTGATATATGCCCTGGGTGTTTACATTGATTCCTTCTAGAAAGGACTGGAGCAGAAGAGTTTTTCCAACCCACCCAGAATTGCTCCACTATTTGTTATATAGAAACAGAAGCAAAGGTCCGCCCAGCCTGTCAGCACCGGGACTAATGGGAGATACCTGGGGAAGAGCATGAACTCCCAGGCTTACTTTACTCTTCTTTGGTCTCTCAGAAGTCGGTCAAAAAAGAGACTGCGAGAGCCAGCTGTGATTGGAAACCAAGAAGAGGAACAGAGAAAACAAAGAAAAAAGAGAGTTAAGGATTCTGGCCTGGAGATAACCAGAATGAACGTGGAGGAAGTAAGTACCTTTAAAACAGGCGTGCAGCTATCATCTCTTGTTTTCTGCCGTTGTTTGAACGTTTCACCCAATCACACACATTCCTGTGTGAGGGGATTCATCCTTCGTTAGTCCGTGTGTCTGTGGGCAGAGCTCTTTGGGGTCTGTTCCCCATGGGTCAGGTACGTACTTGCTCTTCCATGGACCGACGTGTCCCGTTCACCTCGATTCTGCTGGCTGTCTTGTTTGGCATCTCTCGCCCTTCGTGGCCTGCTGGCAGAGCCCGACACCTGCTCTGGCCAGGTGGCCTGTGTGTAACAAGAGCCTGGTGCTGAGGAGCTGTGGCACCTGAGAGGGTACTAAACTGATATTAACCGGCCGGAGACAGGCTGCTTAAGTCCTTCAGTGCCTTAAATGAACTGTTTCCAAAAACTGGAGAGAGTCAATATCCTTCTCCGATAGCAAGACATTAGGATCTTTTTTGTTTCAGACGAGTGGAGTTTGATGTGAGAAGCTTAGCTTTTCCATCTGTTGTTTCCCATGATGTTTACAGGCCTTGGTGGATCTCCAGCTGAGCAAACGAGTCCAAGTCAGCTTTTTTGACAGTTGGGAAGAGCTCGGAGAATATGTCACTATGTTCTCAAAAGCTGTAGCTGAAGCACCGTTCAAGTGAGTAAGCGCATCAGGCTTGGTTGTACCTGCTTTGGAGAGGATGCACTTGCAGTTGCAGGGAGGGAACGTGGGGGTGCAGCTGCACTGGAGTTCACTATAATGTAATAGTTTTAAAGGAGCAGGTGACAGAGCAGCTGCTAATGCAGCTCCTTCAGCACAGGGTTGGTTTTTGGAAACTGAGGTCCTGCCTAGGGAGGGGTGAGGACAGACCCTGGTTTCACATTAGAGTCTCATTTGACATCAAGTAAAGCTCTTGTTCTCAGCCTGATTTTAGGAGTGGGAAGGGAATACAAGTAGGGTTGGGCTCTTAGAGCACCAGTTTTTCTTCTTCGGTACGTAACCAACAGAGATGTTACTGAGAATGAACCATTTAGCTGCTTCCATCGATGAGGAAGGGCAGCAGCATGTTGCACAGCAATAGCCAAGAAAGCCATCGTGTTCAGTCTCGCACAATCCTAGCGTTCCTGCCACAGCAGCTGTTGTGTTTTACATCTCAGCCACGGGAAGAGACAAGATGCTGTTAAAAGTGACACGTCTGTGTTTTATTATGGTTGACAGTCAGAAAGCAAATTCTTATTTACCGTTCTTTACGCACATTGGTTTGTGTCAAGATTGCTCCCAACTACAGAACTGTATTTCAATAGAAAATCTGGGTCTTAAACAAGGAAATTTGTAATGCGTGTAAAGCAAATGGGGTCAAACTTTTAGCATTTTCTTTGATGCCAATAGTGTCTATAACAGCACAGAATGAGAAAAGGCTCTCTGGTAGGGCTGGGATTTTCGTCATAGCCTCATTGTCTCATTTGTTTTTCCATTCTTTGTTGTCCCTAGGCGAGCACGAGAGAATACAGGGTTCTCTTTCTACTTGGAGAAGCAATGGTGTGGAGGGGTGAAGGTGGATAGTTCTGGAAAGGGTCTCTTGGAAGTTTGGAAGAGGCAGATACAACAATTTAACCGGGTCAGCCGTGAGATGGCTGAGGCTATTGTGTCTGCGTACCCTTCTCCTCAGCTTCTGATCCAGGTAAGGATGCCTCGGGAATACTGAGTACTGTGTGCAAACAGCCAGCTGGGGTAAGGAGTGGAGGAAATCATTTAACTGGTATTAAATTTGACACGATTCTGTACGAGCTCTTGAGTAAGGTGGTGAAGGAACTGATTCCTTGGCACCCCAGCTTTGGCTTTGCAGACTGCGGAGGGAGCGGTAGTGGTCCTGCACAGCCCCTGAGCTCGCACATGAGCTCTGGAGAGACCAGCTGAAAAATGAGTGAGGCTCGTGAAAGGGTAGAGCAGTCACGGGTGCAGAGCTTTGAGCAATGGATGCACATCATTGTTCCTTTGGGTCGCTTTTAGGCCTACAGCAGATGCTCTTCGGAGCACGAGAAGGAAAACATGCTGGCTAACATCCCTGTGCACCGTGGTGACGGTGTGACAGCCACCTCCCGGCGGATCGGACCAGAACTCTCCCGACGAATTTACCTGCAGATGACTTCCCACGATCCTGATCTCTGTTTGGATTAAACTGGCTAGCCCCGTGGAATGAAGTAGTACTATTTCCCTGGTTTGACTATTTGGTTTTCTTCTGGGAAGAAGTGCATAAATAACAGAGTTACTGATCTCAGTTTAAAGACTTAAAACATGGTCAACATCTTCCATGAGAGCGTGAGTTGACATGGCTTTTAATACTGAGAGTTCCTTTTATTTGTCTTCCTAGTAAATAAATAATTTTGAATAATAATAATCTTTGCTTCTTAACACACCATCTTGACTATAGACAGGTATGTCATCTGTTGAAGGAATACTTTGTGCTGCAAGTAGTTACCTTCTCTCTCCAGCGTGAACAATCCTCATGCTAAAGAAATGTGGTGCTGCCCTCCCCCAGCACCTGCTTGAGTGAGGTGGAAGAACTTGGCCTCACAAAATAAACTCAGGATTTTCCGCTGTGGCAGATGGGAATGAGTAAGACTAATTTTCAGATATAAATTTAGACTGCCCTGATTCAGTCTCCAGACGGCTTAATCTACAGAGGGTCTTGAAATCTGATTATATGTGCTGGAATTATGAGGTCTAAACAGTTGTCAGAAAAAGCTTTCTTTTAATTAGATTGGGGAACATGCTCGCCTGTCCACAAAGCCATTAGCACTTGTGTGCACACAAGGACAGGTGAGGTCTTTCACGACAGCAGCACTTACTGAGATGAGTGCCGAGAGAGAATCAAACTGCATTTGATGTGTGGAAGTTACCTTTTGGAACGAGGCTGCCTCGAATGGAAAACCACGCGCCCGCTGTGCTAGCTCCAGGCGTTCATCAGAAGCCCTTGCCTGGCCAGTGCCGCGCTTCTGAACCTGAATTGATAAATCTTATTAGCCTGGCATTTGCAAACTTAAGCAGCACTCTCCTAGATGGCAAAGCAGCAGCCTCATGCAGAGAGGAACTGTAGCTTTGAACGTTGTTTGTTGTTTTTTTCCGAACCTTTTTGGATAGTAATCAAGGACCTTTTGAAGAATGTGATGAGTTAAGATACCAAAAGCAAAGCCTAAAGCTGCTTCAGAGAGGCTTGGAAATGTATTGCTGAGTCAGAGACAGCCCTTCCTTTTATCTGTTGCTTTTTCCTGCGTGGTGCTCAGGGAGCCACAGTCTTATCGTTAGGTTACTGCTTTGATGATGACCTCAGTATGAAATGCTGCAGGTTATTTCCTCACGGCACTGCTCTGACCAGCAATAATCCCCAGTATTAGAAGAGAGGGAGCAATTCTGCTGACTAACACAGGATGGCCAGTAGTCTGTAGCATGGGTACTCTCTGCAACCTGCACTTGACAGCATTATGTGTACACTTTGTTTTAGTAGTCACAAAGCCCTTCAGGATATAACAAACTGCTGTTTGCCTTTCTCTGTAAGGAAACTATAAATAATTCACAGGCCTTTGCATAGGCGAGTTTTCCTCTCTAGGTGCAAACCACCAAACCTTCCAGCCTGCCCAACAGTCCCAAGGAGCCGTCCTTACCCCGCCTGCCTGGGCTGGTGACACTGCCGCAGTGCCACCCAGTGCTGCAGGCCACCGCTGCAGCCTGCACCCAGCAATAGGCACTCGCTCGGCTTGTCCGCTGTCTGTCCGAGGGTCTGGGACAGACACAAAACCAGCCAGTGGAAGAGCCAGAAGCCCTTCCTAAGCCATAGCCGCTTTGTCAGCAGTAGGTCGTTAAAATAAAGGTAGCCAGAAATCATTACTGTATATACTTGGAAATGGTTGTTTCTAAAAGACCTAATTAAAATTAAAACTGCATTAGCAACATAAACAGCCAGTTCAGACAAATTGCTGCGAAAACTGTTGTATTGAAAATTTCCATCTCCTTTCAATAGTGTATCAGCTTCTTCGCTCCAACACACGGCTGCACAGCCATCCTACACACCTGTAATTGGTCCTGGAGTAGGCCTTAATGTATTATTCCCATACAGCCACATCACCAATTTTAGCACGGGAAGAAATGAGAGCAGGGAATGGATATGTATTAAAAACCTTCCACCTCCGGGATAGAGCTACAGCTACCTAGATAACGCAAAGGGCTGGTTTTTTCCACTCCTAGAGACTGGCAGTTTTCTGTATCTCTCAACCTAGGGAAACATCCCTTGGAGGTAAGAGGTGTTAACAAGTTAGGTTAACATGGGCAAAGAATGGGGGTTACAGGCCAACTGCGAAACATGCACAGCAAAGATGACTGAACAATAACTGCTCTGTGTGGAGTGGACCAGCGAACCAATGCTGCCTGATTAAAAGCAGTTTTGTCAGAACACAATTCCATAGGAATTCTGGCTGCGTAGATGGTGGAGGGAGATGCTGACGAAGCAAGCGCCCGTCCAGGACGATCACTGCTGCGAGTTCTGTTGTAGCATATTTTGCAGGGTTTTGTGGTTTTGCAGGGCAGCTATCACGTCCTCGTAGAGAGTGTTCACGCTGACGCACAGGGGTTGATGTTGCAGCTCCGTCAGCTTGCAGGCGGCCAAAGCACAGAGGACACACAACAGTGCGAAAAGAAGGACCCGCAGCACTGAGCGTGACCAGGAGTGCTTGTGGCGCGGTGGCTGAGGGGCACGAGAACTGGAGGCGGGCTCTGTAATGAGAATGTTTACAAGACAGAGGATGTGAAGAATTAAATATTTTTAACAGTCTACATTCAGAAATGAGCTGTTCAGGTAAGACACTTTAGCCTGTGCTGCAGCTGTGTTTTGCCATGGATTTTCATCACTTTGATTAATAAACAGATACGTGGGATCTACCCACTCAGGGTGAAAAGTTTCACCTTCAGTTTTGTGGGCAGCAGTGAAGGTTTAAGCACCTCTTTGTGGTATAAGATCTGGTTTTGCACATACAGTTCTTAAAAAAGAAATGAATGGAGGAAAGTTCTCCTTAGGAACAGTTAAAGAACTTTCTGAATCTTGTAGCTCAGCAGTTCATCGGGAACCCAAATGAAAGAGAAAAGAGCACAGCAGTCAAGCTTACAAGAAGTCCTACAGGTTCTCTTCCCCACCCACCATCTCCCAGTACCTGGGCTACCTAAAAGCAAATCTGGCAGCATCAAATATGTGATGAAGATGAAATCTGATGCAATCTCAACCAAAATGGTTACTACTTACTTCGGGTCTGCATGGTTTCTTTTTTAGTTTTCTTTTCCACCTCCTGTTTTGCAGCCTTCTGAGCATCATACTCCCGTCTTCTGCGCTCCTTTTCTTCTGCCTTCTCTCGCTTCCTCAGTTCCCTCTCTTGAGCCTCCTTTGCTCGCTGCTCTGCTTCACGCTTCTTCTCCATTTCTAGGGATTAATAGGAAGTTTTTTTGCTTTTATGTAAATGGTTGTCATTGCCTTCTACCTTATTACCTGCTTATCTGTTCCCAATTGGAATGAGGAAACCAGTCAAATAACTATCCTCTTTTTCTTGTTTTTTTTTTAATATTACATACCTTGCATTTTGCTCCCTCAGAATTAGGCTTCCCTTAAAAGAAATCCTGTGCTCTTCTTTTGTATTTTTTACAGGTAGCTAATGGTGCATTCCATCTAGAGATCTAACTATTTCTCAGGCAAGAAATCACATAGCTATCCCCCACTATCTTTACCCCTTCCGGCCCTTCTACCCCACTACTCCCAGAGTCCTCGGGATTTTGATAGTTACAAGTATTTTTTAGATGGCAATCGGTATGTTTTGGGTGTGAGAGCTCAAGGACACTTCTCAGCAGACAGCACGTGAGGGCTTTCTGTGCTTACCTCGCTCCGCCTGGAGCTTCCGTTGCCGTTGTCGATCCTGCTCAGACTGGATCGCCTTCATGTGCTGCAGCACCTTCAAGGTCCAAGAAAACAACCTGAGGTCTTTGCAGAATGCTTGTTGTTGCACAATCAGGTCAAAGCAGAACAGCTGGAGCACAGCTGGGGACACTCAGCTGGGCTCACCACCAGCCTCAGTTACCCTCCCCCAGCTACGGCTCTGAAGAGAGAGCTCGCAACTTTCCACATGAATTTTTGCGGTTAAGAAACAAATCTTTCCATTAAAACAAACGTGGCAAACTGGTGCTGGTTGATACAGAGGATCACAGAACACACTTATATTTACGTGAGCTTATATTTTGCCAGAACTTCTCCAAAGATTTTTGTACTCTGGACTATAACCCTAGACAGGGATTACTTATGATTACTCTGATTATGCTTCTACTTTCTTGGCAACCAGCATTGAGTCCCCTCTTGACTCCACCAATGGAAGAGAATCCTGTTCAGCACAGTGTTTGCTCTTTACAGGCACAGAAGCAGTGAAGTCAGTGCAACAAACCTGCGCTTCAACTGCTGAAGAAACTTCAAACTGCTGCAGCAGCTGCTTTCCAGCTTGGTAAGCAAAAAGTGGAAGAACCACCACTGAATGCCAAGTAAGGAAAAAGAAAGAATAAAAGGAGATTCCTTACCTTGACAGCAGCCTGTTTACACTGCTTCTCATCCAGACAGTCTCCCGCTACTTTGGCCAGGACAGGGTCCAGGGGATTGTCCTTCAGATCCAGCCACTTCAGGTTCTAGAGAAAGGAACGATAAAGGGCAGGCTGTAAGAGCACACTAGTTTTGCAATTAATTTAAAAGATTCAACGCAGAAAACAAGAACTATTTAGTTTTCACATAAATGAAATGGGGACGGAAGACAAGCAGAGACCTTGAGCAGAGGCGTTTTCAATAGACATGAATGAATTTCCACTGAGCTGTGGTGCAAAGCCAGCTGAATTCTGGAATGGGTAGTCAGCAGGATGGATGCTTTACCAGAGAAATCAACTTGAGAAGGATCACAAGACCCTGGGCTGCATCCCAAAGCTTTACGTAACTGCTCAGCAAACAGTTTTACCTTGAGCTGTGCAAAGCTGACTGGCAGGGTGACTAAACGGTTGTTCAGAAGGTCCAGGTGCTGCAGATTGACCAGGCAGCCAAAGTCCAAGGGCAGCTGTTGAAGGCGATTCTTACTCAGATCCAGTTTCACCAGATGCATCAAACTGCAGAAGTCTGACTGAAACCCAAACAACAAACAAAACCCAGAAAACACTTGTCAGCATCTTTATGGAGGAACCTCAGTGAAGGCTTTGTGGAGATGCCCTGAACCTTACACAAGCCATAAGTCCTTCAGCTACTAGAGAACTGAGGAAGGAAATATCACTCTCTTCTTTTGCCTCGGAAGATGGAAGTGGGGAACAGTGGGACAGTTAAGACAGAGAGACTGACAAGGTGATGTATGGCAACACAACAGAAACAAAACCGTGTCTCCACGGCTGACGAAAATGGTCTGTATTCACGTGGAGATCCTCTGACCGGAAAACACCGCAATCTTCACGCAGCACAACCCTTTCCTCTTTCTGCCTCTGCCAAAACCACCGACCCGTCACTGACAGCAGAGTCATTCAGCCACCCCAGGCTGAGGAAAGTGCTGATGAACATCCTGGTGAACCTTTCCCAAAGCGCTAGTGATCTTTTCTAACTATTTCCCAGCGGATTCACCCCCACAAAAGCTCTTCAGCACCTTACCGGCAAGGAAATGAGGTTGTTGCAGGACAAATCCAATATCGTAGCTTT